CGTGGTGGGGTTCTTGTCTTCCTGTGTGTCCAGATGCAGACCTTCCCCGGGAGGACTGGGTCTGTCGGCCAGTGGAAGTCTGACGGCCCTCAGAGGCCCCATGCCTAGCACTGTCCCGTTCCTGCTCTTGGCGGGATCCCCTGGTGGCTCTACTGCTGGTCTGGTGTTGTCCAGTGGCAGAGTCAGACTCATCCTCATTGTATACCTGGTAGAACCTGGCCCGTCTTTCTGAGGATTCAGAGTTTTGCTCATTGTCATTGACTCTACTCTCATTGGCAACCCTATGTCTGATGTCCCTAGAAGCAGAGGAAGGTTGACTATGCTTGGAGCCTTGTTGCTGCGAGCTGTCTACTGATTGCCCTTGATGTGCTCCTCTTGATCCTTGTGTAGTGGAGCCATAGTGTTCACCAGCATTGTCAGCCTGCCTTTCTTGGGCTGAGTGTCCTTGATGGGACACTGAGTGCCTACTGGTTTTTCTTTCCCTGCTTTCGGTAGAGCCATGCTGGGAGACAGCCCCTGTGTGGGTTGAAGGAGATCTTGTGGCTGAGTCTTCTGAATGCCCGTCACTATCACTTTCCTGACTGTGGCTGGCCTCTTGGTATCTGTCTGTCCTCGACCTGGAGTGTCCAGGTCCAGTTCTGGAACTTCTAGGGCTGTCTCCTGAGTGCTCGTGGTGGGATTCTTGTCCCCTCCTCTGTCCATATGCTGGCTGCCTGTCAAATGATTGATTTTCCCATAATTGAGTATTTAGTGCTGTAAACTCTTCTCCTTCTGATCTGCAATATGAGTCTTCATTGTTTGACATTTCCTGTTTTGCAAATATTTCCTTTGTGTCACAACCCAGTCCAGTTCCCTTCTTTCCCTTTCTTTCTAAATGACCAGTTCTTTCTTTTTGCCTTCTTTCTCCTTTTTCTGTAGAATTAGACCTTTTGTGTTTTCCTTGTGAGTTCTGATGTTTTTTTCCATGTTGTTTGCTTTCTGTTGGAGTGGTTGATTTACCTTTTCGTCCTCCTTCTCCAGAGGTAGACCTATGCCTAATTTTTCTGTTCCGTTTTGGACTCTTGGATCTTTCTTTATTGTGTTTTCTTCCACTTTTCCTTGAGTCACTGTGAGTTCTTTTCCTTTGGTCTTCTATTCCTTCATCTACCTCATCATCTTCATCTTCATAACCATGACTATTCCTTTTGTGTTTTTGCCTTGATGTATGTGAAGTCTTACTTCCAATAGACTGGTAATATGCTTGAGCCAGCTTGAGTACCATCAGCAAATACTCTGTGAAGTCTATTTTATCATTGTGGTCTACGTCCAGTATGTGCATGAAGACTTCAGCAGTGTCTGGGTCATCTGGATTCTGTAAAAAGAAATTCACAGTGGTAAACCACATCTGACTCAGAATGTCAGCTAACTAACCTTGAGTTCATTCAGGTTTCAAGAACTCTTGGTACCATAATGGAACAAATCTCTTATATTTTTTTCCCTTTAGCTTTTTCTTTTTAGCTTTTTTGATTCAGCTGATAACTCTGGAAACTCTGGAAAAATAAGCTTTATAGACTAGTAGAGAATGATGAAAAGATTTCATGAAATAATTGCCTTGTTACCTTCTTTCAAGAGTCATTATTTTGTATAATCCAAGACTTACTTGTCTTTTAAATATACCTTGATAATATTCTTGATATGGGTAATAATATTATAGATAGCTAAATAATTGTTCATCTTGTGTTTATAATGAAATATCTATATCATTTTTCTTTCACATAGGGTGTCTGTATATGTATATGTATAGTTATAGAGATAAAAGCAAATTCTGAAATATGACTGTGTTTCAAATGAAATGGTTAAAGAGCATTCAGAATAATCTTGTTAGGTTATTGGTGAAGAACAGAATTACTTTATTCTTTGGTCCTCTCAAATAGTGCCTACCTTCAGGATTGGCCGAAACTCCTTTTCCAGCAGTTCCTTCAGCTCTCTTTTGCTCAATGTGTCAGTCTCTTTATCTTCTTTTGAATATTGGTGGAAAAGGTCAATGATGGCAATTATGTTTTCCAGGAGAGTGGACATTTTTTGGGGGTGGTTTATGTGAACCTAGAAAGAGGAGGTAAAACTTTGTCTTATACTACTTTTTTATTTTGAGATTGTATTATTAAATGATTTTCCACATTTAATCCTATATTCTCCCCTAAGTAATCTGTCTTTAAAAATAAAAACTGCCCATGAAAAACTGTCTACAATAGACACAGTGAAAATCAACAAAGACTAGGCCAATTTACTGGCATTGCTCATTTCTGGGCCTAAGCCCAGTCATAACAGTAGTTGTCAGAGACCTGTGTGCTGTAGTTAAGGTCATCTTTCTTGTTGATCTGGCTGTTGGTTATAGCAGAATTTTAGAATGTGTCACTAGTCCGAAACAGGAAAATTTAGTCATAGTAATTTGTTGAAAACCAATTCTCCAATGCTGATTTTATGAATGGTTAAATTGCAGAGACTTTTGTGAAAGCCAATTTCTCCAGTGGTAAGACATGAAATATTCATTGCCTTTTTTTTTTAAAAGCATGTCATTAAGTTTGTAGTATTTTTAATTGGATAGGATGGCTTTAATAGATTTTCAATATAATACAAACAAGTTTATTTTTGACTGGTTTTCATTTTGTCACTTGAGGAATGCTAGTTAAGTAATGTTCAGTTATCTCATTGATAATGAAAGAAAGTAGTGTGTCAGTAAATCTAAACAAGCACTCATTGTACAAAAGAGTCATAATGACTTCTTCAGAACTTGTAAAATCAGGTGAAACTAAAATACCAAAGGAAACAATAATATAAAATATATTACTGTAATAGTCAGGAGTAAAGCATTTTTGGACCTTAGATTGGTAAGAGGAAACAGGTGTCAATTAATTTTTGCTGTGGTTAAATCACATAAGAACATATATATTTTGATGAATTTATGGGTATCCCCTGAAAGAGAATTTAAAATTTCTAAGACATTTGAAATGAAAGGAGAAAATAAGAAATCCCAGGAGTAATACTAGTTAAAGTCAGGGATATAGACATGGTTCAGATTATGAGGTTCTAAGTGTCTGAGTATAACATTGGTTTATTTTATTCAGAGGACAATGGGATGTCACTGGATAAGTTTTTGTAGAGAATGATATGATACAGTTAAAAAATATTACTTTGTGCAATACACTATTAGGTTGTTTCAGATTAACCCTTCTTTGAGATCAACTAGAAAGCTGGAGTGTGTGTGTATGTGTTGGAGGATATTTGCAGTAAATTTAACCAATAGCCAGGCATGGTGGCGTATACCTGTAATCCCAGCACTTGCAAGGCTGAGGCAGGAGGATTGCCATGAGTTTTAGGCCAGCCTGGGCTACGTAGTGAGTTCAAGGTCAGGCTGGATTACATACTGAGACTCTGTCTCAAAAAAATTTAAATGAATATAACAATAATTCCTATAAATTAATACAAACATACAAATATCTCATTGGGAAAATGAGTCCCTCAGGAATTTTACAGAGCGTAGCTAAATGAATAAATAATATAAATATATAAAGTTTTAAATAAATATATCAAGTTTTCAACCTTGTTAATCACTAGAGAAATGCAAATTGAAATTACAGTGTGAGACTGTAGCACACTCCCAAAATAACTAAAAAGATAAACAGGGAAAGAAACTTGACAACATGAAGTATCTGTGAGGATGTGGAGAATAAAAGTCTTTCATATGCTGGAGGGAGCATGAACTCTCAGAAACACTTTGGAAAATTGCTGGGTAGTATCTAAGACCCAGCAGTTTACTTTCAGACTAGGCATAACAGAGATACGTACCTATATGCAACAAAATCCTACATCACAATGTTCATAGTCTCTTATTTATAATGCCTCTTCAAATAGAAACAACTCAAATATTTATCAGGAGAAAAATGGATAAATAGGCTGTGGTATTTTCATATAACAGAGATGGGATGGAGGGTAGCTTGGACTAGGATGACAGGTGTAGAGAAGGAGCCAGTGGGAGTGGGTGTGGCATGTTGTGCAGGCAGAGTTGACTAGAACCAGACATAGTGATGAATCAATGTCGGAAAAAGACAGGGACTATGGCTAATTTATAGTTTTGGGTATTTCTCATGATTTTTATTATGATTTCCATTTTCTTTCATTTAAACTACTATGGTCTTTCTACTTTTTTTTTTTTTTTTTGGTACCAGGGATTGAACTCGGGTCCTTGTGCTTTGGAGGTTCTTTCTACTTTTTTCCACTTCCTGTAGTCCTGTTTTTCACTTAGCAGCCCAGAGTGACTGTTTAATACATATACTAGATTATTTTACTACTCTACAGTGACTTCTCATGTACTCATTTTATTTTTATTTTTAATAATATATGTTTGCAGTACATAATGATTACCTTCATCACAGGGAGTTGGTACATGTACATAAGATACCTGAATTCTCTTACATCCTTCCTCATGTTCTTAATGTACAAAGTCTACTATGCTCCTTTTTACATGGCCCAATCCTGGGTAGCTCTCTGAAATCACCATATTCCTCTTTTAAAATTTGCTATAAGGACACTAGCTTCTTTTTAACCTTTGGAATAAGTTAATTCCTACTTTAGAATCCTGCCTTTTACCTTGGCTAATTTCTTTTATCTTTAAGATCTCAGCTTACTGCAATACCATCCTACTTTAGTTAGAAAACTATCACTAAGACCCAAAGCCAAAAACCAAATCAAACCAAACCAAACCAAAACAAAACAAAAATATATGCTGGCAGTGATGCCGAGAAAGGGGAGCTCTTACATCCTGTTAGTAGGATTGTAAATTGGTTCCACTCTTACGGAAAAACCGTGTGAACATTCTTTAAAAAGTAAAAATAGAACTATAATATGATCTAGCAGCCCTACTACTAGATATATACCCAAAGATACTACTAGATATATATCCCATGTTTATTCACAATAGCCAAGATATGAGTGTCCACTTATAGGTGAATGGATGAAGAAAAGGAGTATATACCCAATGGAGTTTTATTCAGCCATAAAAAATAATGAAATCCTATCACTGGCAGCAATATGGATGAGCCTTAAGGACATTATGTTAAGTGAAATAAGCCAGGCACAGAAAGACAAGTACCACATATTCTTACTCATATGTGGAAGCTAAAAACAGAGATAGGAGGAATAAATTCTAGTATACTAGGGTGACAATAATTTTTTATGTTTCAAAATAGCTAGAAAAATGGATTCTTAATTTTTCAAAAAGAATTAAGATGTGTTGTGTACATGTATCAAATTCATACAACAAGTATAAGCATGTAATGTAAACATGTACTAATAAAAATTTAAAAATGAATTTTGAATATTCCCAGCCAAAGAAATGATATTTTAGGTAATATGCCGGTTTCCCTGATTTAATCATTACAAATTGTATACATGCAATAAAATATACTGTACTCCATAAATATACACAATTATGTGTCAATTAAAACCTTTATTCAATAAGCAAAAAAAAAAAAAAAAAAAAAGAAAAGGATAATTCCTCAAAGAAGTTTCACCTGGCCATTTGATCTAAAATACGTTCCTCCTCCCACCGCTCTGCTACATCAATTTGCCTTTCTTCATTATTCTTGTTATTATTTGAAATGCTTTTATTTGCTGTTTGTTTACTGACTGCCTCTCCCTACTAAATGCCAGTTCCTAAGAGTAATGAGTTTATATAGTTCACTGCTGCTAAAGCAGTACCAAAAAACAGAGCTTGGCAAATAGAAGATAGCTAATATATATTTATTGAATGAATGAACGGAGAATCTAACTGTACAGAGTATTGAGTATCCTCATGGAAAGCAAATTTGTGCCCTCATTGACTGTCTATATAGAAGTAAACTTTTTGTGATAGTGACACTAAAAATAAAGGAGAAAACTCTTAAACATGAAGGTTTTTTTTTTGCCTTAGAATACACATTCTTCCATATTTTCATTTTGCTTAACACCAAGTAGGCAAATTTAAATGTACTCCCTCTTACCTTGTTCACAAGAAGAGTGAATAGAATGCAGCTGAAGGAGCTTGCTGGGTACTGAACTCTGGGCTAAGGGCCTTTTTATAGCAACTGCATCTAGGGAGCAGCCTTCTTCTGTGGGATGGTCTGATTCATTCCTAACCAAACCCAGATCCACCCATACCTCCACCTTTATTTCTCCAGTGACATCTATTTACTTCCCAACTTCCTCACGTACTCATCTATACTTGTTTTAGCAAGTTGCAAATTTGGATTTAGATTAATTGGAGTTATTGGAGATTTTATGGAGGGGACTATGTGACTATTGCAGGTTCTTTGTGTGTAGGGTCTGCAACTACTTTTTTGGTAACCCCTGCCTTGACCTGATGGATATTTGATAAATATCTGTTGATGATCTTTATACCCAAAATGGTAGGATATATATTTATAGGAAACAAATTCAATTTATGGTAGGAAAACATCACAAGCTCCTAGCTTCATGTTCCTATTTATCTGTGAATTCCATCTCTGCTTGATGAGAGAACTTGCCATCAGATCAATGTTGATCTTCTAGAAATTATAATGAGTGAAGAGAAGGTAGGCACACTTAATTTTTATTTTTCAAAAGACAGTAACATTCTATTAGAAGTAGTGACCACTAGTGCATGACCTTATTAGGTAAGAATCGTTAGTCTAATTTTACCTTGTTTTCAAGATTATTACATTGGGCCACCAGAAACATGTTCTATATTGTCTTCCTTCTTAAACTGTAGGTTTTCTATTATTCCTGAAAATACACAGGTGACTCCTATCACTGTTCTGTCTCTTCATATTCATATTGGTATGTTGAGTAGACTGTATCTCCTTTTGCATATCCTCTTGTTACCTCAATCCATTTTCAAAACTGAACTCAATGGTGTCCACTCTATCAGCCCAAACACTGGCCACTGACATCCCCATCCACTGAGCATCTTAAGCTAGGCAAAGTCATTTTTTGGTCTCCTTTACATCTCATGTTCATGTATCAGTTCCATTTTTTGAATATCAGTTAACACAGAATCCAGGGCTTCATTTTACCTTTTCTTCTTGGGTTTGTCTTTGTGTGCCAGTAGTTATTGTGTTTTTATCTTTTACCATGCAGTAATTAATAATAACAATAAGAACAAAAGCAACAACAATAGTAATCCTATATTGCACATTCATTATAAGCTAAGAATGTGCCAGTGTTTTTTGCATGCATTAGTTCCCCTAAAACAACCCTGTAAGGTCATTATTATTTCTGTTGTAGAGATGAGAAAACTGATAGTGTTAAGGTGAACACCTAGGATTCAATCTCACATTATTTTTACTATAGCAGGATGCTCTGGATATGAACTTTTTCCTTTTTTGGGGGTTAGCTTTATTTATATTTTTAAAGTTATAAACAGCAGTTTCTCTAAAAATTCTCCAAGTGCTGGGTGACCTTAACTGTGTAAATCATTGTAGGAACAATAGTAGG